TATATATTTCTCTATACTATATACTAACATAACGGAAAAACTGCAACGGTTAACGTGTCTAAAGGTTGGCTTGTTGAATCCCACAACTGTACAAACAGATTGCTATGACGCATATCAATATGTAAAAAAAAGAAAAAAAACCTTAATTCTTTCGATCTAAAAATTTACAATTGTTTTATAGATCTATAACTTTTAAAGTACGCTAATTTGTTCGTGATAAATTCGAAAATATCGATCTTTCAAAAACTTTGATGCCTTTGGACCGTAAGCAACCGATCGAACCAATTGAAATGAGAATCGACGATCGACCAGGCAGAGACTGGCGATCTATAAAATAATTTATATTCTCAATCAAGCCGATGAAGTGAGCTGATCTAGCCATCTGTCCATCTTTCCATCTGTCCTTTTGTATGAACCCATCGATCTCGTAAGCCCCTAAAGCTTGTGACCTAACATTTAAACGGTCACAATTTTAAGTATCTCGCAGTTGAGCATACCCGGCTAGAGACCCAAACTTGTTTTTTGTTACTTTCAATTAGTTTTTTACCGACACAGTATTACATAAATGTATGATCATATAGTTAGCAATACAAAACTCTACTTTGATCAGCGGTAAATCCCTAGAAGAATTAAAAGTTTTTTCCCATTTATGTACATACAGTTTTACAACATTCGCAGATACCCGCAAATTCAATGAATCTTTATAGTGACTATCTCGACTATTCAGATATATATCCAATATATTACATATATGTGTAGAGAGAGAAATAAAGAGTGAGAGAGAGAGAGAGACTTTTTTTATAACCAAATATTAACTATAAAATGAGGTAGAATATAAGTAGGTATCTAGTATGAAGGTATATACATATGCATATCACTCAAGATATGCATACAGAAAATGATTATACATTAAGTAAATATGTATAAATAATATATACATATACCTATGTACATGTAACTTACACGCATTAATAAAATCATCGGCGTTTCCACACAATGACACATTTTTGTTTCGGACTGATGTAATCTGTAACAATATAAGCAACATCTATAGCAACAACAATAACAACAACAACAATAACTGTCGGCATTACATTAATGATCTGCAACGCAACTCTTATAACTCTCTAATTCGCACAGAGCTAATTTCCATAAATTATAATACTCTATTAGAAACTGCTCGATCCCAAAATACCCTTTACCTAATTGAATCAAACCAAACAAACCAATATGATGATGATATGTATGTACATATGTAATTAAATCTGCATTGGAGATGCATAAATCTCTTTCCAGTAATTTCGTTTGTTTCATAAAAAAAATGCAACTGTAGTCATATATTACATACATCTGGAACAATCTGTGCTCAAAACTCTGGCTCGTTACCCCAGCTTAACTTCGTATTTGCTCGTTCATTTTCGTCTCTTGCGCTCTCAGCGAGCAACGGGATCTCGCAGTCATTTGCCGAAGGTGTTTAATCGGTATGATCTCTTTCTCTCTCTCTCTCTCTCTCTCTCTCTCTCTCTCTCTTTCTCGCTCAATAGTTACATACTCTGTCTCTCTGCTATTTTAAATGTATGTACACACATATATAAATAAATGTACACACATATATACATGCTTAAGCTGCATATCCTATAATAAATTTTATTCTTTTAAGGGTGGAGCTCGGTAAATTAGTTAGATTTTTATTTATATAAAATATATACATACAAATATATAAACATACCTTTGAAGCCGTGTTCATTAGGAGAAATTTCAAAAATGCTTGTGCTCATACGTGTATGTGTGTGTGCATGTTGTGTTTGTACTGTATATATGTATTCATAGAAAAAGCGTAGAATGACTCCAATAGGGAATCCGTAGTCGAGCAGTCATGACTTGATTTATCTTACTTGTTTTCCTCTGGTGTTTTCTAATCAAATAAAATGAAAACAAAACTTTGATTTTCTTAATTTTTTTAAGCGGCATAATTTAATCACAACATATGCAGTATATAAATATTTTATTAATATTGTGCAGTTGTTGAGAGTGGGAAATGTATTGCCTGTGACTGTTCTATATATACATTTTTATTTACAAATATTTATCCATATAGTATAAAGTATTTTTATTTTACATATATATTGTATAATATCTGATATTATGAGCAAAACAATAATTGAAATTATATACATATATTGAAAAACTGAGGTCTAGATTGTTTACTGTTGAAGCCTACAAACTTGACGGTAGTTTCTGTTTAAGTATGTATATTAATATTGATTGATATTCATATATGAACATATATATGTGCAGATTGGATAGTACAGATATTCATGACAGGCTTAAGAACTACGTTTACTAATGATAGTTATTCTACATGAATTCATTGACAAATAAATTCGTTTTAAATATAATTATATTTTTTTGTTTCTGTACAGCTAACAATTTCGAAATGATATTAAATTCAGATTTTACTTGGCATGTAATTTTACAGATTTAGCAGATTCTGGGAATCGCATCCATTGCCACTTGCCACATGAGGCACAAAGTTGCCATGTTGCGGTTGGCGCTGCTGTTGACGCTGCTGCTGACGGCGCAGGCGAAGCCAGAGACAGAGGTGAAGGCGAGTGCGGACCAGGATGGGCAGACGCCTGTGGGATATGCCGACAACAAGCCGCCCACTCATGAGTTACCTCGGCCATTAACCATACCGGCGGAGCTGACATACGGCCAAGGCCAACGGAGACCCCGCTCCCGCCGGCCCACTCTGATGGATGTGGCGCTGCAGCAGAGCGTGCAGCAAGGACTCAATGCCATGGCCGACCTCTACGGCAGGATCCAGCCTCAAATGCTGCTTAATGGTGTGCGCTATGCTACTTTTATTGCTGCAACTACATTTGCAACGATTCCTCATATCTGTTTTTCTGCCCTCTTTTTTTTTCTTTTTGGTTTTGAAGGTCAAACGCTGCAGGACAATCATCCAGCTGCCCTGCTCTCCCGTTTCAATGCGCCCAATGCGGAGTCGGAACAGCGCGAGATGGCCGCCTATGCAACCATCGAAGCCACGAAAGCCTTTCGTCACAAGTAAGTGCACGGTGGGTACGCGGTCGAATGAGCGAGTGGGTGAGTGACTGAGTGGTGTCACCAGCCACAAATACATCATATTGCTTTGCCATATGAGCAAAGTTACTGACAATGACGCATATATCCAAATGTTTTGTGGGCAGCACGAGAAACTTTCTTTGGAAAGAACAAATAATTAGAAAAGACACAAAGTCATTGAATACAATGTATTAGACATGCCAATTCATATCATTCTAATTATATCATATCATATATGATTCATCGTATAAAGATAATATTTGAAACATATACTCTGCTTCAGTTGTTTTAAAAATGCTCTCAAATGTTTCCCCACTTCGGGGAGCATATTTAAAAACGTCTGTAATTTCCGCCGTTTGAAACGTAAACGCTATAATTTATAGTTACGTTATTCCAGACTCCTTCAAAGAACTGGCTAAATTAGGAACTATATACCTCAACTATGTTTACTTCAAATTGTATACATACAGTCGTCTTCATAATTTTCTATATATACTATTCCCTGACATAATTTTGTTCTCTATTAATATCGATAATTTGAATTTCTGTGTAAATCGAAAAAAATAAAAATCGAATACCCTTGCCATTTCGAACTATCGGGACTCGACTGTACTATATATTTAATACAAAATAATACTAATTAATAATAAATACTAATTAATAATAAAACATACATACATTTTGAGTTCCTGAAAAATAGGCTAAAACTAAATCGATCCACCCATTGAAGCTATTGCTTCAAAATGGCACAGTTTAATTGCTGTAAATGCCTTCATAACTCCTTTATCATAAGAAGATTCAACAGTTTTTGAGCTTTGAATGAGTAATATGCAGTCGTTAGTTCTGGACTGCAATCTTTTTATTTGTTATACTCATTCACAAAGTGAAAAGAGTATATGACTTCTATTTTCATTTAGCTATATACTTTATAGTTATTTATGATGTGAAAAAAGCATTTCGATTTTCGGCAAAGTCCGTTAAGTGCCTGATTAATTTAAAATTTACTGTGAGTAGGGGAGTAGACCCAGTGGAAATGTTAAAACTTTATTATAATTGCTCTAATATAAGCTTTTTTGAATTAGTGCTATTTAAGCCAGAAAAGCTTTAAATATAAACATATGTACCCTATATAAAATCATATATGCTAGCTTTAATGATAAATCCAGATGAGCCCTAAGTAAGCATATTTTCTACAAAACATGCATCAAATGCAGAATAATAAAATCTATGCAGCTTCAGTAATAATTTATTTATTTGATATTAATTGTAACTGAATACTCCAAGTCACTTGACAAGTCTCGCAGTTGGCAAAAGTTGTCGCGCCTGAAGCGAATCTAATGCAAAAGGAGATGAGAGAGAGGGAGAGAGATAGATAGATAGAGAGAAAGAGAGAAAAACAATATGTCAATAATCTGGGCATTTGAGTTGTGGGGGGTGCCCCACCCTCTGGCCATAAGAGCGGTAACTTTCTCGCTTGATTAACGAGTTCTACGACTCCATGGCACCCATGGCTAATGAGTTGAAGTTGAAGTGCGCTGACTGAAGTGCCTCGAAATGTGACCAGTAGCTGAGGCAGTAGGAGACGGACAGGCGAGGAGGGGGAGGGTGGCAGAGACACCCGTTAAATTGTATCTAAATCGACATTCAACGACAACAGCAACGACAACGACAACGACAACGGCAACGACTGTTGCCGTGACTGCTGCTGAGAGTCAACTTTCACTTTGACATTGAAATGCCGCATAATTGCCAAGCCAGCAGCAGCATCGCCGTCGTCACGGTCTGGACCCGGCCTGGCCATTTTGGAGCTAAGCCAAATTGTATGATAGCAAAAGGTAAATTAAAGCTGGGCTGGGCCGGTGGCTAAGCTGAGCAGAGCAGAGCTGTGAATGCTGGCCAGTGCAAAAGTAAATGACCTCTTTGGTCGGCCAACGGAAATGGCGGTCGCTGCTGTAGTTTTTCCAGTTTGCAAGTTTTCACTTTTCACAACGGGTTCAGGTGCGCGTCAGCCTGTCTTGGCTACTGGCTCTGTGCAACAACAACAACAACTACGAYAACAGCGAAAATCAAATAAAATCCGTACAATTTTCCACACATAAACAGCATTCAAGTAAAACTACAACAGAACTTTCACTCAATTACCAATACAATTACAAAATACAAATACTTACCCACACACACACACACACGCAGCCAGGTAGTAGCAGGTGCAATGAGCCAAAGCTGCCCAAATACTTTTATGTAATTGCAAATCACCAACGCTGCTCAATGAGCTGGCAACAATAACAGTCCAAGTGGAAGAGCATAACAGTAAAGATGGCCCGGCTCAGCCGTCTTTGTTTACTCTTTTTATGACTGCAGGGTATCTACGCTTCGTTCACTTGGCCAACATCAAATTACGAAATATTCGATACGTTTGCTTCAATTAAATATCAGCTGATGATGTGACCAAGAGTTGGCGCGCTCATTAAAATTGCCAAAAGCAGATATTTAGCCAAATTAGAAGAAAGCGAGTGAATGTGAGCGACGGCAATTATAAAGGTGCATTTGTGTTGGGTAGATTGTAGTTATGGGCAAACGTTAGAAATAATATGGAGAAAAACGCATGACGCTGCCTATTTAGCTCTATCTCCCCCCATCCCCTCGTCTCTTAATAAGTCTCTGCTTCAGTCGCTGTCGCTGTCGCAGTCGCTGTCGCAGTATCCGTCTCAGCATTCGCAATTTGATTACATCAAATGGCGACGACAACAACAGCAGCAGCAGAAATAACAACAAAAGGTTCGCCGGCAACTTTTGTGCCAAAGAAAGATACAAACACAAATAAATAACAAGTAAGAAGGCTCCAGTCGAGACTGCTCGACTAGGAGATACCCTSAACCCTCCAAGCTGATATTCTAATCAGTCTGGACTTCTTTTATGCACACATACATACACATGCACTTATAAGCACGTGCTCTGCTGACTGCGCAGTTAGCAGCGACTGCGCTTGGGCTGCGCTGCAATGTGGGCAATAATATGAGAATTTATTTGTTGAATAATTTCTTTTGTAGACATACGATCTTAATGAAACTTTCAGAGCGTAATCATATGGTTAAAATATGTGTACATTCCAAAGCACAAGTCTCTAGTACTTGAAAAGTACTAGTACTAGTACTTTTACAAATTGGGGGAGAAGGGGGCGTGGTATCCAAAATCTGCAAATTACAAAATCTTTGTATCCACTAACTTTATATACAACCCAAATATGAAGTCTCCAGGTCTAAAAGTGTTAAAATTATGCTGAAAAAACCAAGTCGATTTTTCGATTATTCTCGATAAAAAAGTTATCGGACGAGTTATCGAAAAAATAAAGCAAACTTGTACTGCCTATGGTATACACGAGTATGCATGCCAAATTTCAGCTCTCTAGCTCTTATATCTTCTGAGATTCTTTTGCTCATACGGACGGACGGACGGACGGACGGACGGACGGACAGACGGACAGGGCTATATCGACTCAGCTCGTCGTGCTGATCAAGAATATATATACTTTATGGGGTCTGCGATGATTCCTTCTGCCTGTTACATACTTTTCACAAAACCATTANTTGTGCCAAAGAAAGATACAAACACAAATAAATAAAAATACAATAACAAAATAAATAAAACACAAATACAAACAACAAGACGCGACTTTCGATTTCTACAAGCCTCACGAATTCGGCCTCAAACACCAAAGGCGTATGAAAGCATAAATATACACATATATAGGCATATACATACATACATGCATGCACGCATATATACATACACATATCAACATACTATATATATATATTCGTTTGTGATTGTTTTGTTGCGAAGCTTCTGAGGTCATTGAACGCGGCTTCGACTGCGGCTGCGACTGCGCTTTACATTTCTGTTTATTTATATACATACACAAACACACATATACATATGCACCTATACATTTATGCATATCTATACAGAGATTGCGTATACGCCGCGTTGTCTAAGGTAAAGGGCGATGAGCGCTGTTTTTGGGTAATCAAATAAATATAGTTAAATGAAAATAAGAAAATCGTGATACGCTGAGCATTTGAACAGGTATTTTTCACTTTCACCTCGGAGAGTGTAGCGCAGTATAACGACTTTATGATACCCTTTAGTGCTGACGGTGAATGCTTAAAGCTTTTACAATGCATTTTTAATAACAAGAATCATAAATTAATAATTTACAATTGTAATTGAATTTTTTAAATTTGAAAACTGAGATTTTTAAAAGTGTATCATTTAATTTTCTAAATATAATTTTTAATTTTTTAAACTACATATTACTTTAAACCAATTCAACAAAAGTCAATTGTTTCTTTTGTATATATAGGTATATACATTTTCATATTTATTTAAAATCATATTTTGAAAAATGTTTTCTTACTGTAAATTTATGTCTCCTCTTTATATTTAAATTTTCATTTTATTCAAAAATTATATTATTTCATTTTCACAATGTGTTTCTATTTTTTGTGTATTGAATGATTTTCAARATTTTTTTTTTTTTTTTTTTGCTTACAATTCATTAACACCTGCTTTGAAAAATATGTATACATGAAAATAACTTTCGCTGATCTATATTAAATGTTTGTTTTGTGCTTTTGTTTTAAGCATTTTTTTAAATTTAAAAAAAGAATAAAAATTTAATTTTTGTTTCATTATTTTTTCTAAAAAGCAATAAACAAAAATGCACTTAATAAATTTGTGAATAAAGAAAATCTTTAAAGACTTTAATATATATATTCATGATTTTCTGAAGAGAATTACTTTAAAAATATTGTCAATTTAAAAATTTGTAAATACATTTTCTGTATATTTGAATTTATCATTTTAATATTCATACTTACTACTTATTTATTTAAATTATTGTACATTTAAAAACTGCACATTTGCTCATTTTGAAATCTGATTTCTTAATAAGAACTACATGAACTATTAGGAGTCTTTTGCTAAGCAGCGCAGTGCTCATGGTTATCCAATTATACCCCAGAGAGAGAAAGAGTAGAAACCTTGCTGTAAATGGAAAGCCAGAGCGACTAAATTAAAGTCAGCTGCTGGCGTTTTGATTTCTTATGCGTTTTCCCACAAAGCTCACACATTCAAAGGCACACATACACACACACACACTCACATTGAGACTACACCAATGAAAACGCAACTTGGTTTAATTTGTTGGTGGATCCCTCATCTTGCGACGAACTCGTTTGGGTCGCTGTTGGCTCCCAACTTCGTGCAAGTTGAGCGTTTTATAAATAGATGCCGCTAACGTTTGTAGAGAGCACTTGAAAATAACGTTTGAACGTAGCCATGTCGGCGACATCCACACGGCAAGGATTAGGATGAGCTAACCAGAAGTATTGTCTCGTCCTCTTAGCTTCCAGCACATCGATGAGCTGGCACGCCAATCGCATGCACACAAAATCTCACTGCGTCGCACGGCCCTGGAGGCACTATGCCCGGTGCGAGACCCTCCGCCGTGCATGCCGGCGGCGGAGCGCTACCGGACGCACGATGGCACGTGCAACAACAAGCGCAGGCCGCGCTGGGGCGCTGCACAGATGCCCTTCAATCGGTTCTTGCCGCCCGAATATGGCGATGGAGTGGACAGCGTTCGCAGCTCAACGGATGGCAGCACTTTGTCCTCATCGAGATTCGTCAGTCTGCTGGTGCATGGAGCTCGCGAAGGGGAAGCACCTCTGACTCTCATGATAGCGCAGTGGGGCCAGATGCTGGACCACGATATGACGTCCACGGCACAGCCGCGGTAAGGAAAGTGAGTGTAAGACGGAATGATAAGATTACTTTAGCTTTTGGTTTTCCCTCTAGTTCGATTAATGGATCCATACCCAGCTGCTGTGGCGGCAAGGACTTTCATCCGTCCTGCTTTCCCATCAAGGTGCCACTGGATGATCCCTGGCTGTCACCGCTCAAAGTTCGCTGTCTGGAGTTTCTGCGCTCCGCACCGGCTCAGCGGCGCGACTGTGTCTTGTCCTGGCGAGAGCAAACCAACCAAGCCACATCCTACATCGACGCATCGCCGATATACTCAAACAGTGCCAAGTCCTCGGACAATGCGCGCATTTTCCGTAATGGCCTGCTGATATACGGCCGCGGCAATCCGGCGGAAGATGTGTGCCAGCGCGGCGCCATTGCCACGCAGTGCATCAGAGCGGGCGACGGCCGCAGCGGCGAGCAGCCCGGGCTTCTGGCCATGCACCATGTGTGGGTGGGCGAGCACAATCGCATCGCCATGGAGCTGAGCGAGCTGAATCCGCACTGGAGCGACGAGAAGATCTACCAGGAGGCGCGCCGTATTATCGGCGCCATGTTCCAGCACATCACATATCGGGAGTTTCTGCCGGTGGTGCTCGGCCAGGAGGTGTGCAAGCTGTTTGACCTACAGCTCTTGAGCACAGGCTACTACGAGGGCTACGATCCGAAGGTCAATCCGACTGTGGCCAACGCTTTCTCTTCGGCTGCGTTTCGATTCGGCCACTCCCTGGTCCAGAACTCCTACATGCGATGCGATCGCCATCACAACATGATCAACAACAGTGAGAGTCTTAATGATCCGCAAATCAAATTATCGTTAATCAATTCCCCAATCCACAGATGTTAGTTTGCACGAGGAGTTTCAGAATGGCGACATTGGAACGGCGGGCTCGCTGCATCGTCTGCTACGCGGATTGGCATCCCAACGAGCGCTCAAGCGAGACGAGTTCATTACGCCCGAGCTAACCAACCACTTGTTCCAAACGCCAGGATTTCCCTTTGGCCTTGACCTGGCCGCCATCAACATTCAGCGTGGGCGTGACCACGGCCTAGCTCCATACACTGCGTGGCGAGTGCCCTGTGGCCTCAGTCCGATTCAGACCTGGGATGAATTCGGTAATGTTATTCCCCAACCTCCCATTCAGCATATTTACACCCGATTTCTCTCTGTCCATCTCTGCCATAGCTAATGTGGTCGGCCCAGAGTCAGCGAAGCGAATTGGACACGCTTATCGCAGCGTTCACGACATCGATCTATTTGTCGGCGGCATTGCGGAAAGACCTGTGATAGGCGGACTGGTGGGTCCAACTTTTGCATGCATCATAGCCCAGCAGTTTAGCAATTCGCGACGCGGCGATCGTTTCTGGTACGAAAATGGCGGGTTCGAGAGTTCCTTCACGCCAGCCCAGCTCCACTCGATCAGAAGAGTCTCGCTGGCACAAGTGCTATGCCGAGCAGTGGGCGGGGGTACGTTCCAGCCACATATATTCATACCCGCTGAGTTTCCTGACAACGAACGTCAGAACTGCGGCACTGGCATACTGGGATTCATTGATCTAAGTCCTTGGCTGGAGCAGGATCCATTCTTGCCGGCCAAGCAACAGCCCGAGCACGTTTTTAGCATCGTAGAGTCGGAATCGCCCCAAAATGAAATAGGTGTCAGGCCAATCGTCAAGGAGGACAAGGCGGGTTTCTCCAACCGCGTGAAGCCTATGCAACCCCATGTTGAGTTTAACCCCAACTCAGCGACAGGCTTCCTCCGACCGACGAACGCCAACATAAGCAAGATAAACGACAAGCTCGACCTTAAACGTAAGACGCAGACCGTGACCAAGACGAAGACAGGAAACAATAACAACAGGAATACGAACCCAACTCGAGGTGTAAGCAATAAGCTAGACAAGTCGCCCAAAATAACTATTAATATAAAGAACGTGAGCATTAGAAAACCTGGGGGAACAGGTCCGAAACGCACAGTGGTTATAAACAACATACCTCTGGAGCTACGCAGCGCCGGTGATGGTAATATCACAGCATCGGCAAAGACTGACAACGAATCAGACACTATAGACGGAGACCCAGGACTGCAACTTCTTAATACAGAACTACCAGAGTTCCGAGATATCGACAGTGAACAGCATACGACTGTGACTACTGACAAATCGGACAGTACAACCGAAAATACGATACAGCCACATTTACAAGACAGCAACACAGACGACACACTTGACCCACTGAGACAAAGCCCTACAGAGCTTGACAATCTTAAACGGGTGCCTCGTCAAGTGACAAAACCGAATAAAAAGGACGAAGAACCAAACACTAGACTCTTGCACGGCCAACGGAATCGTACGACAACTCAATCGACAACAACAGAGACAATATCGAGAAAAACAACGCCAAGCATTACCCGTAGTCGTACAACCAAGTCCTCTAAAATCTCGAAGACAACAAAGCGGGGCGTGGAACTGCGTAGCCACTACCAAAGCAGACCGGTCTACCCCCAAAAAGTAGTCGTAAACGGACCCCACACAAACGACCAATACGAAATTGAGATTAATATACGACAGACAAACAAAAGTCCGGTAACGAGACCGATTGCCGCAGAGTATACCGACTATACGACATCGACTGTCTACAGACCCTACAACAACTACGAAAATAGCTACGCTCCCCAGTTCATGGACTATGCCAGCACAACGCCCAGCTACGGCTATTATCCAACGCATAGGGACACCATACCGCCGCAGCTACAGAAAACGAAACCGCCGACTATCATCTACCTTAACGACAACGATGACAGACGTACCACAACACGTGCACCGAATATATTTCAGAACTTCTTAACCTTTGCCACCAATACCTTCAATCCGAATGCCAACAGACGACCAACACAAGCACCACAGACGCCTAGTCCGATTTCTTCGTTCCATCAAGAGCGACCTTATCAAGAGACTCATGTGATAAATAGTCCCATCAGCAGCTCTCTCAGTGTAAGCAGCCCGGCACACTATGCGCCACGCCCACCCCTTTCGCAAACCCATTCGACTTCTAGCAATTCCCAAATCGGGGTAAGCCAAAATAATTATTTGCATGCCTCCAGCTCGGCCGTCAGTGCTGGCAACTATGGCAGCATTTCTGGTGTGGCCAGTGCGAATGGTGCCGACAGCATCTTTAGCTTTAATATCCGCCCACGTCCGGATAATAATCCCGTGTTTAGTTCCTACCCACGTCCGCAGAGCTTGGGAGGCAGCTACGGCCTCGTCTCACAATCACCGTACAAACCCGACTATCAACAGAGCCATAGCGAGCTCTATTACGATCGAGAGCTAACACAAAATCCGAGTCCTTTCTCTACTGGTTCCGTGGTGGGCCATCGACCACTGACACAGACGCAATCGTACTATGCCCGGACGCAGGAACTGAAGGACTTGGGGAGTAACATTAACGAGATTTCGAGTACGGATCACAAACTGGACATGATTAAGGACTACGATTTCTTGAGTCGCACGTTAAGCAATATTACGACAGATGACATTACAATGGACACCACTGACGATTACACTTACGACGATGACGAGCCAAGCAAAAACATAGACTTTACTAAGGGGAGCAGGCCAATAGATAACCCGACTGCATCCAATGACAATACAAATACAAGTGTCGTAGCTAATGAGACATCGAAAAACTCAACAACGAACACGACTTACCTGGACGATAACTTCGTGTTGCCCATGCTGGACAACAAGACACAGACAACGTACGTGACAGAAATGCCCAAGCCAATGCTGAGCACCTCCAGCCGTAGCACAGCCAATAGCAAAGTTACAGTTTTTACGGACAGCCTTGGCAAGCAGTTGGGCAGTAGCATCTTGGCCGATGCCGAGGACTATGACGAACGATCAGCAGCTGCAGCTACTGCAGTTGTTAAACAGTCGACCAACGTGGCCTTTGCCCCGATTAACGTACTGACAAAACCGGACAGGTAAGTCCGTTCTGGTTTGTGCGACTAATGCAGATAAAATTTTAAATATTTTCACAGACCGGACAACTGGGTAATATTTAACAGGACTAATGAGGAGCCGCCTCTCCCTCAGCCGCCAGCAGTGAGCTCGGGCATGGGCGTTGAGCCCGCTGCAGAGATCCCTATGCCGTTTCATATCGTACGTGAAAAGCAGAATATACGCGAAGCAATAGCACCGGATACAAAACAAAAACCACAAAATGATACAATCAAAATGAGCACTAGAAATTAGAAATGCCAAATTAAACATAGTTTATTTATTGTATTTAAATAAACATCAATTGATACAGTTTCCTTAAGTTGGTGTTCTAATCATTTTATTTCAAATTAAATTGAATTTTATGCGGCTAACCTGCGTTGCCATATAGCAAAATACAATTGCTTGACCAGTTATCGATAAACAAAAAACGACGGGCACACGCTTATCGGCTGGCCGCCACCTCGACTATCCACAAACTGCATAAACTGAATAAACGAAAAAAATTTCGCTTCCAATGGAAAAGTTTATTAAAAAAAGACTGTGAAAGGAAAGCAAACGGGACTCCATGCGAGTGGCGGCGCGTCAGAGCCGTCGCTGAAGCCTGTGCTTAAACTGCTTTTTGATTTCTATGTTGTCAGCCCGTTGCTGCCGTAGTCGGTAAAAAAAATATATTAAGTCTGATTTTAGAGTCTGTGAGGCAATGGAGACTGATTACCAAAATTACGTGGAGTCATTGTCGGGAGTATCCTCAGATGACGATGACATATCCACGGTGGATAGTTCTGATGAGGCCGAAGAGCCGACCAACTCGCACAACCATCCATTGCAGCCGCAATCGCGAACGCGAAACTTGGTGCAAATGTTGTACGACAGAGAGGTATGTGATTGGGAAATTTATAAATATACAAATTACATTCGTACTGACAAATATATTCTTGTTTAGCGCACAGGATTTTTCTCAGGTCGGTCTCGAGCGGGCCAAAAACAGAAACTTCCATATGACCAGGTGCCAAATAGGTTAAAACTATATCTCAAGGACGTATTGGCCAGCAATGCGTTGGAGGGGTAAGCCATTCCCAGTCTCAATCTCAAGGCTCGATAAATGAAACCTTCTTCTAGGCACATATTCATGGGCCTGACTGCTTGTGGGCAGTACATGATCAGCCATCGAGTTGAGTGCAACGATAGCACTTCGCTCAACCATTACTCCTTCAATGTAGGCTACAAATACACGTAAGCTATGCGAATTGCATGTAAACAGCAGCACACAGTCATATATTACTTGTTTGCTCTTTTACTGTAGTCTTTATTTTTGGCTCTTCCAACCGCACAAAAAACTGCGATATTTTTTCTCGCGCCGCTTATTCGACGATCATGTGGTGGATAATGTGAAATCGGTCACAATGACGCAGTGGAAGAATGCGGACAAGCAAATTCTGGTTGTGCACGGTGCGGCAATGGAAGAGAGTGAAGAAAGCTATATAACATATGTTAAAGTTCCTAAACTCGGTTGTTTGGAGTGCAAAAAGCTTTGCGATGACGGTCCATGTAAATAGCATACATCCTTATTGATCATGGAATTATCCAAATAATCGATTTTTTATATTTTTAGATTCCTTTTACAACGCACACTGTCTCAATTGTCATTTGACTGTGCATACAAAGTATTCCTCGACTGAAACAGATCCCCGTTTCGATCCGACAATAAATTTGCTTTGCCCCGAACGCATTCTTATCGTCTCGAATGGATTCATGCACATGCTGCGCATCGATGTGGACACGCCGGTCGTACCCAACAGCAGTAGCTTGCCCCAGCAAAACTTTAACCTGCCCAGCACCCAGCATACCTTGTTTCTGCCGCGAACTCCACTGCCCAATGAAGAGGATCGCTGCTCCGTGCCATTTACTGGTTCCGAGGCGGACAGCGAGCACAGTGTTGTGGCACGCATCATTGCGGACTTCAGTGATATTGAAACTGATCATACTCAGCGCACCAATAACAACAACAACAACAATAGCAATAACATCAACAACAACAACGAAACTCCACAACGTGGTGGCCCAGAGCACATTAGTAACTGTTATGAAAAGTTAATTTTCTCCTCGAACTGTGGCAACGCGTTGTCCACATCTAGTATGACCTTAATGGAGACCAGCCTGCCAGTGGGGATGCCAAACTCAGTGGGCACCAATGATTCGAGCCAATCGAGAAGGCGCAATCAGCGCATTGTCACTAAATCTTACCGCAACGGTATAACAACTATTGATATGCAAGTAAGATTATAATGCGATTAACAATATTTCAATATATCAATATCGTTAATTATTCTATTCCTCACAGAACACATCGACTTCAAGCTCAATGACGGATAAGTCAAACGCATATGAATTCTCCGAGGACAATGAAAAGTGTGAGAAAATCTCCACATTTCGCAAACGCCGCCTGGCTGACAAGAAGTACGAGTTCTCCGAGGATAACTCTGAAAATATCATACCTTTCACTAAGATACGATCGGCAGGACGAACAACGTTTAGTCCATCGACTGCCAGCTCAACCGCTCAGCGTAGTTTGCATCGATTCTCGCCAACGGCACATTATTTTCACAACTCTCCCTGTGCTTCGCCCTCCTCCTCTCCACACCCAGCACAGCCTTCCCATACCCCGCCACCGCCGTTGCACTTGGGATTTCGTTCGCCGCCTTCTAGCTCGAATTTAATGCGTTCGCCCAGCCGTAATGCAAATGCAGCCACAGTAGCAGCTCAAATATACAATCAAAAGTCACCGCCTTTGTCTCAGGCGACCCAACAGATGCTCAGCTATAAGCCCGTTGGACCTTTGGGTGCCTTATCGCCATTGCAGGTATCTATGGCCAAGCGCTTCGAAATTGGAGGATCGATGTCCCCGAACGCTGGCTTGTCCTTCTTATCGCCGCGACGTGATGAGCAACGCATTGTTGAAATGCCAGTTCAAGGAGGAGTTATGCCGGAAAAGCCGGTCTGCACCAAGAAGTTGCGGCGCCGCTATGTAGATGAAGACGATGCCACCTCGGTGATTACTAGTGAGGAGGGTAAGCCTATAATTGATTATAAAAGCTATATTTCAATCAACTATATATATTCATCCGGATTCACACACAGATGACTGCATCTCACCGGGCTATCACACCTCGCTTCCCATGGAGGTGCATGGATCCTGCTACTCGGAAATGCAAATGATTTCGCAATCGTCGTATCAACGCCTACGATGCAGCAGTGTGGTTATAACGCAGCACTCATTTGATCTTGAGACTTTCACATATTATGTTATAAGCATGATCTGTCAGAAGCATCAGAAGATCTACAATGTATTCTACGACTGGGCATACGAGTTCGTCAATGTGTGCCCGCTCAGCCAGACTATTAGCTTCATGCTAATGGCACAATTCTCGGCGCGAGATCAAATGCCAACAGCTCCAACCAACTGCATGTACTGCACAGGTCGCATGGGATGTGTTTTCCACAATCGTCAGTACGAGTGCCGTATTCTTTTTACGTGGAATATGGAGAGTGGGCAATGGCAGGTGTTAGACTATGGCGAGCTCAAAGAGATGAACGAACTGTTCAGCCCACTTCGGCGACTGGGAAAATCTCGTTTAACCTTTGCTCAGGTGGCCAGGCAGATGGCAAAGGAAATGGCAGCCAGCTTGAGCCGACTGCCTGATTATACCTCGAATTTGCGAATTCTCAGTGCAGACATAAAAAAGTCTAAGACATCTATTTGCGATTTGGACAACATGGTAGAGTTTCATCTGAAGCGCACAAATTCCGAAGTGCTCTGATCAGATGATTTCGACGAACATAGATAGGAATAGAGGAGTTCAGTTTTCAGTTTTGCCGCAATCCTCGCCACGTGCAAGTGCATCTAGTTCAGTTTTAAAAACTCTTTAATTGTGCTGTATTTAATTTTAATATAGTTTTACTTTTATTAGTGCAACGAAACGCTTTTACAAAATGTTATAACGCGTCCTAGTTTTGACTGAAGTCGTTTAATTAAACTACAAATCGTAGTTAGTTATATGGCACACATACGACAACGCCTATGTATATATTAATATACTTTTGATATTTCATATAATACTACATTCTAAATACAAATTAGGTAGGAACACATGAAGATCGGTTCTATTTAGTGCGCATCTAAAGGCTTGCGTCAATATACAAATTGAATAATCTTGTAATACAGACTTGAGTGAGTAATATTTAGTGGAGGCCTTATGGCCAATACGTCGCTAAGTTCATGACAACCAATATTAAATAATAAACTATATTTCCTCTAAAATTAAGTGTAATAGTTTTATTGAATTATGCATGTATACTATTTTATTGCAAACAGTATCGAGTGCAAGACAATCGTGAGTCTACAGTTCATATTGTGTTTTCTCAGTGCAGTCTACAGTAGCAGTAGACATTCTGTACCATTTATTGGGTTTCGGCTGATAATTTTTGAGACATTTTTGACATCAATGATATTTCAGTTGGAAGTTGAGATAAATCTGAACTTTGGACATCGGATTGTTCCCTTTTCTGTCTAAATCTGAGCTCAGGCACATAAATAAGGATGAAGGATTTATAACAAACTACCTGTCAACAAGAGCGGCTAACACATCCTTCTTCAAACACATCCTTCTTCATCCTAAACACAACAACGCCTTGTCCAGAAGTAATAAATCAAGCATGGAACAGATACCAATAGCTCTGTTCCATGCTTGATTTACGGTAGTAAATTGTAGCACAAAGGATGAGATTTCAAGAATCCAGATCACGCCCACAATTATAAAAAGCCGAAAGAACATTCTGAAACTAAAAATAAAATGAAAAGCTTATTGCTTTGTTGTATTCAAGATAACAGTAATTCAGTAAACAGCAATGGAGCTTACTTAGTCAGATTTCATAGGTCGCGCTGGCCATCCGATGATTTTAGCACGCGTCGGTTCTTTCAGTTTTGTACAACTATTCGATTTGTTGTTTTAATAAAAATCGTAGTATTGAATAGAAGCAGAAGGAGCATCGGTCCATAGTAATAGATCATAGCTGACCAATCAAATGCTACCAGGTATATGCTAATTAAGGTAAATGAATCTGTAGATGTACGCAATAAACTCACTATTGATCCAGCAGATATATAGACTAATGCCAGGTTTCAAATTGTTCGGAATGCCCATAATTTCATGAAGATAATCGAACAGAAATGTAACTAGCACCAAGACGGCAGCAGCACTCCAAACGATGATGTACCTCACGAACCGGACCTTTTGACCGACGCCAATGTTGTTGAACGTCTTCCATAGATTATAATTTATTACCGAGAGCCAACAGAATGTCACCATGACGGCATAATATCCAGCATACCCTGACATATACATATATTGTAGTATTTATTAAGATACACAAATTGAGAAAAGCGCATCGCTTGAAGAAACATACCAAACAATTTGGAAGCGATGCCATCGCTGGTATCTATCCAGTTGAAAACTAATATATTATACCATCATAATGCTAGGATCATAATGACCATCATAAAGGCAGTAAGGCAGGAGAAGTAACAGGTGCAGCATTTGCCATGGATAGACTTTAAATTGGACAGCAACATGTAGACGATGATTAACATAATCATGAAGAATATCGACACTATTTGAGCTACAAGTCAAATAATTAATTATTTAATTAATTAATGGAATTTTTGTTATGGATACTATTCCATTATGAAGTCCTAGCTCCAAAGCATTGCAAGATATATATGTTTTTTTTTTTCGATTTTCCTCCATTTGGTATCTATATTTGTCATTTTTGTCATTAGACAATTAAAAATGTTTTTTTTGGAGTATAGATCGAGTAGATATACAGATAGTATGCTAATTTTAAGCTTTTATCGTCAAAACTATAAAAGATATTAACTTGTAGATATACATATCTGCCATATTTCGTTATCTTTGATTGATACATATTCAAAATCTAAATTATCTTGGCCTTTAAATAGTAAAGTTACTGAGCTTTAAGAATATACATATATTCAAAATTCAAGTCTCTCTAGTTTCGAGATCAACGGAAAGCATACACACTAGATCTCGCTCTGAGCAATCGTGTGAACAATTTACATTTAGGTTATCATACAACCTTTAAAGAGCGTCGTTTTGCGAGTTATACGCTTAACTCTCGCACAATAAGGCTCAGTACCTCACCTTTTACCTCACATACGCAGTCGCACTAGGACTCGTTTCTCAAAGTGAGAGTGGACTCTGTATTAATTAAGCATGTGTGGGCCTCGAAACCAGAGTTATTTCTGTAGTATTCATATGCATATACTCATTTTTGCTTATGCATTGATACTCATTTATTATATTTAGTACAGTTTGCTTAGGAACAATTTTGAAAATGACTTTGGTAAATAGTTAAAAAGGGGTATAATATATACACCATATTGATCAGCCGAGTCAATTTTGCATACAAAAGCTAAACTCTTAAAATTCAAATAAATATTCTATTTACAGTTTTAAAATTGTAATTTTTATTTTATCTGTCCATCATTATATATTGTTAGCTATTCTCGAAGACTCTGGAACTATCAATTGCGACTCCAGGAATACAGGAACGCCTTTAACTACTCACAACCTAGTCAGCAATTTGGAAAATTCCTATCAATATAGGCAATATGCGACATTTGCCACATAAATATTACGCAGAGGCACATACCCAGAACTTTGACAACACGGTGAACTCATACGCAATGTAAAAGCCACAAATAATATCTCGGAATCACAATCGAACGGAGCATAATCTTACGAAAACACTCAAACAAGACTACGCACTTCGTAGCCAAACAACAAAATTCAGTTGCCCATTTCGTACAGCCTATATAGGATATTTGATAATTGATCCCTTCCTACTAGGGACCTCATCCATGTTTTGGGCTAGTACATGAGCCCAGTTCAATTACAGTATTCACTTCCTATCGAATAGAATTTATTACAATACAAATTGTTAAAGATTCCTTATGAATTATTTCTATTGGCATTAATAACTTCCGAACGCATCAGTTTCTTGGCTCGTTTAGCTTGAGTAAGCCTGTCAAATATGCAATAAATTAGCCGACTATAATGTCTTATATTAGTTTAATTACCTTTTATAAATTGAATTGAGTTCGTTCCTTTTGAGGACAGTCACCACGAAGATGACAATGCCTTGAGATGAAGTTGGGACCTCGATCCACGTCATATTCAACTCCGAATCAAAGCGAGACGTAAGATACGAAATCACTTCAAGTAGACAAACAACTCCAGAAATAACGAAAAGTTTAAGAAACACTTTAAAACTTTCAAAATAATAATCAATAAAATATTTTACCAAAAGTTTCGTATCACGTACTTAGCACGATTCTTTAATTTTTGTATGCTTTCGGATCGCTTCCACATAGCTCGGGTCGTCTTGTTTTCCTTATATATTGCCCAAGCAGTCCGAAAAAAAGTCCTATATTAACAAGCAGGATAACTAGCATAGGCCCATGATAAAATATCATTGCAGACCAATCTGCAGCTATAAAAAAAATTAAATGTTAACTGAATTTCAACTCTATAGCACTCTACGCCATTGCTTTCTCGAGATAGTAGAGCATTTGCTGCTTTGCCGCGCCCTTGTGATGGGCACGAAAATGTATCCCCTTTATAAAATGAGGTAACGGATGGTAGGACTGAGAGCAAAAAGGACGTTGCACAAAACAAATATACTACAGTACGTGGATAAGCAGTATACAAATATTGACTGATCGTACTGTTTATCCAACAAGAGTAAACGGTAAATCCAGGTCTCCATTCAACGAGTCTATCCTTGTCCATGTTCTTCATAATAAAGTCGGTCGAGATTGTAATCAGAAGTAACAGAGCAGCAGTCAGCCACACAAAGAGATGGCATTTCTTGACGTTAACCTTCAATCTGCCGTATTCCTTTATCGCTTACCACGAATTATAGTTGATAATTAAGAGCCAGAGGAATGTACACATGACCGCGTAATAGCTAATGCAACCTGAAAGGATCCCAATTGAAATTTGTGTACTTCACGAAAACTCGAGAGTTTCGAACATACCAAATATTAAGCAGACCTCAAGTTTCATATGATTCCGGACGAAAGTCTCAATGCGGAGTAAGGAGAAGCTCAAAGTTAGACTGATGAAGTAACAGATGCAGAATTGTTTGTGGGGGGAGCGAAAGTCCGGCATGCAAAAGTAGGCAGCAATAGTGAGGAGCATAAAGACTACGGATACTATCTGAACTGTAACGAATTACAATGATGTGAAATGTCCTAGATTGAAATCAGGATCTGTTTTCTTACTATACGCATCGGTGTTGTCCTGCAGTTTATTGCACTGATGGGGCAGTATTCTATACCGACCATCCTTTGATTTCTTTGGCTGCATGCAATAATGTTGTTTCCCAAAATCTCTACCATCAAATTTTCTATACAACTGTCCATTCTGATAAAAAAATATAAATATTTTAAAATTATACTTTCATCAATAAGTGATGTATCAAACCTCATATATTACCCATTGCTCATCGCGATTAGTGTACGGATCCAGACTAAAATGGTTTCGCATGGTATACCGAAAAGTTGCACTGCAAACTCCTTTACAATGTCTATCTCTGCCTCAGTGCCGTTCTGCAACGTGACGTTCACGAGAGGATTGTAATTTGGAATATTACCCACACATTCCCGCTTGTCTTTGACCAGCGCCTTTTGGGGCTCATAACAAAATCGAACACAGGACATTAGCTGACATATATGTACATCCGCGTGTGTGCTCGGGAATCCGTTCAAATGTACCGTCAAACATGATCTGATGTTGTATTTTCTTGTTTTTTACTTTGGTATTTTCATGTTCTTAAACACATACGACCCGTCCCATAATTGTGTGCTATTTGACAGATCGATTGTATCGAAATAATCACAGCCGGGGATATCGCCTAATATCTCAGAGATAATAACGCTGAGCACAATAAGAACAAATATCATTCTCTGAAATCAATGAATATCAAATAAGTAAAAACAAATAGATTTCCAATTATTGCATAAAAAGGATCTCAATGTCTTGACTTAGTAACTTATTCACTAATCGCTGTCAGTCCATCAGCTACTGAAGCTAGAGATTTTAAGGTTGGAATACAAGAAAAAAATATAGATACTCAAAATATTCTAAAACATTTGAGCAACAATTTTAATATATATAAGTATAAATGTTGAATGTACACTGCGCGTCATCAGGATAGCGAACTTTGTTCTCCGTTAATTTAGAATATTTTCTACATTATAAGGGCATGGCAACCAACAATAAGGTATTACTTAATCGATCTACTATAATATATGAACATTTTTAGAGGCCTATAAAATTACATAAAAAATGAAAATTACTTTACGCCTTCCCATTAGGAAATACAGCTCAACTGCTTTCAACGATTTTAAATAAACTAAACGATTCTGGCTGTAGCACTTGTATAAAGCTGAGGCAAAATGTAAATACTTATCGAATATGTGTGACTAAGATTTCTGCTCTTGATGACCAGTGTATTTTGAAACGTAATATAATATAATTGAAACCCAATCCATAGTGACTAATAAGCTGAACAATAAATTATTAAAACTATATCTTCATATGTTTACAGATCTGATTCCTTTATCTGATTAAAAATATTCTTGTTCTGTAAAGTGGACAACCTAAGAACGGGCTTTATCTACAAGGTCAGTTCAGAATAATGTCAGTCCCAAAACTCTAGTTTCCATTATATGCATATATTAGTTTTTTTCTTAAACAAATGACTTGTTCAGTGTAAAGCAAAAGGCCGGAAAAGATATAAATTGTTTGAACTTTATTACATAGATACATATATAAAATATATTAAACGGTAACGTAGTTATATTATATTAATTGTACTGTAGTAAACGTAATAATCATATTATTAAAATCCCTAACACATGAATATATATTGTGCATAAACTTTAAGTTTATAAGCAGCAAACATTTTTCGAAAATAATTTGATTTCAAT